TTAAACACTCCAAACACTGGTAACTTTGGGAACAGAACCTTTATCAAGTGAGGCCTGAAAAAGCTGAGGTAACACCATTTAAGTTCTAGACAACTGCTCACATTCTCAGTTTTGAGTCCTCCTGCCCCAAACCTCCTTTAAAACAAGACCCTTAAGACACCAAAACAAGACCCTTAACCCATAAATGGAGGTTCACATATCAGAAGTTAATTTGAAACATAATTTAATCAGCTTTTCCATGTGTTTGGAGATACTGAACTGCCATGTGCTGAAGAACCTTCTACATCCTACCCAAAAGCTCGTGTTTATTTTAGCCTGTTCTTAGATTGCTTTTAATCAGTTCTGCCAAACTCTTAAATTCCTCCTTTTTAACTTATACAAGGAAGTTAATGCTGCAAGAATATTGGATAAGGTAGCAGGAAAAAATGAGATTCCTTCATACAAAACAGGAAGGCTTTTCAAGAGCCCCACTGACAGGGAACACAATCCACATCAGTCAACACTAACAAGCAAACAGCAGGCAAACCTGAGACCTTTGAATAACCAAACCTGGGTTAACAAAGAACACTTTTTTCTATTCCTTCATTTAGGATTTAACACCCTACTAATTGATGTGCACTGACAGCAAAGGCATTTCCATCTGAGCTGGACTCACCCATCCTGGGTGCAATCCAGCAGCTGAGGATAGAGATGTGACTTCAGCTCTGCTGAAGGAGCAATGAGTGACACTGTTCTAATATGTACAGGCAAGCTAAATTATAAAAGACTAAGAAAAGCACTAACAAAAAGACAGCAAACAGCAGAGCTTCATATCTCCAAAGAGACCTTCTACAGAGTACTGATAGTTCCTGTTGCACTAGTCTACAGAAATGCCCTTTAGAAACCCTTTTCTCTGAAGAGTCAGACTTGAGTCAGCATCTCCACCCTGGTCTGCAGCACAAGTACTACATGCAAGAGAAAGTTTCAGTTTCTGATCAGAAACAGAGCCCACACCCCAACTTTGCTTGAGCTGAGCCTTGAGTAGAAAGATAGTATTGAGTCAGAGTCTTGAGTAGAAAGATAGTATTGCAAGTGGCAAAGTGGTTGTAGATGCAGTGCACCTGACTAACAGCACTTTCATAACCAGCTTCCACTCATCTCCTCTATCAAGTCTTCCTTGCTTATCAAGAAGTCTGATGCAGTCCCATAGAAGCACAGCTTGAAAAGGTTAGTGCTACTGCCAGAAATCATACAAATTCACCAGAGACCATACTTCCCCCTAAGGCAGCATTTGACAAAGAGTATAGCATAAGCTAGAACAGCTCTGTTCTGGTAAATACATCTTTCACATGATATGTCTTTGCAACATTGAAAGAGATAGCCTGAAACAGTCAGGATTAAGAGCACTAGCTGGACCACAAAGCATTCTCCAATACAAATCACTATACACAGTAATTGGCAGTGGAGATTCTTTAACCTTTTAGGACATGCTCAGATAAAAGATATGCAAGTGTACACTGAAATAATAAGCAGTCTTAAACAGAGTAAGACCTACAACAGAAAGATCCCAGAAAGAAATGTTCAGTAAGAACTTGAATATAACCCTTTAATGTTGTTTCAGCAAAGTTTGTACGAGCAAGATCTTTCTTTTCTCCTGAAGCTGACAGATTGCTCTTGCTTTTTACATATTATGTTGACTTTTGAGCTGTGCATGGAGCCCTCTTCTGGAGAAATCTGAAAAATAAGGAATAGCTTAAGAACACAACAGTACAGGCTCTATATTTGGGGAGCCATTCTAGGACTAATTCTATTAACCCTACGAATAAACTCGTGAAAAAATCTATAGTTTTCCAATTCATTAAGCTACACCCAGTGGAACTTGATTTTTAAGAGTCATTAAACTTCTTCTCTCCCTTGTATGCTTTACTCACAAACTTTGTTAGATTCATCTGTTTGCACAAAATACATTAACATACAAAAGCAGCCTCTGGATGACTTTTGTTTTAGAACAAATACAACTTTGGATGTAACCTTTACAAAATATCCTTTGGGGAAAGCCTGAAAGTCTCCTGTGATTTACCACTCCACAGGTATTCACTGCTAACTGTATAGTTAACTACACAATACAAGCTCCTAGATAACACTCAGCTTTTCTCTACTTTGGATCAATGAATGTATTATAGATACAAATCTTACAGCTACGCTTTGTAGTTTTAAAGGTTATTATGAATTAAAGGGTGCCTTGAAACATCTTCACCTGCTCCAGTTAAAACAGCATTCAATTTTCCCCTCAGTGGAAACAGAGCAAACAATCAGTGAAAGGACAGACCCAATCTTCATGATAGAAAAACAGCATTTACTGTCCACCTGTTTAACATAACCAGCAACAAAACAGCTCATCAGGTATGTTGGTATGAAGCTTCCCATCATCATCCTCATTTTAAAGCCTCAAAAGGGGGCTTTTCCATATTTATCTAACTCAAACACAAACCAAGAAAAGAAAAACAATGGCTTCTTTTACAAATGACATTTTCAATAAAATATACAAGATAATGTCAGTTCCTAATCTCAGAAGCTCAGTAATTTTCTCAGACTAGGCTATAAACTTTGCCAACATTATTTTAAAAAGGAGATCTTCCTTTCCTCTCCTTCTCCAGGAAGTATTACAGTACTGGATCACTACTGCTTAGACATCATTTTATCAAAATAGAGCTTGGCTAGTTCCACCAGCATTGTATTATGGGAGCCATTATTGCTACTGCTGACAGAGGGAAAACAACAAAAAAATTGCAAAAAAAACCGAGCAAAATGTGTTACAACCACTACACTGCCAGATGGCTGCATTCGTTTAATATGTTGTTTCCCACATTCTTCTGTTTACTTTTCCTGTCACATGAAAGTTGTGCATGTGTTGTGTCAAAGAAAAGCTGAACAGCATATAATAATTCTCTTCTCTTCCCTTTTCATACTATTACCTGTAATTCACACATTAACATGCCAATATTTGAGCATCTCATTGCTAAGGACAGATTTGTGCATCTTTTCTTGTTACAAGCCAAATTCATTTCCTAATGAATTAATTTTGACAATATATATGAAGTCAACAACTAGGGGGTGGGCAGAACTACCATGTAGCAGCATTGCCAAGTAAAGCCACAAATGCTAATAAGGGGATGCAAATACAACACTTCAATACAGAGCTCTATTAAAGCATCAAAAGCTCAGCAAGTCAGGACTTAAACTCCAAACTACTGCTGCAAGTCAAGAATAAAGTACATTCCTAAGTTACTTGCAGGATCAGGTGCACAGCACCCTGTAAGATTACAAGTGTCAACCAGCTCTTAACCTAAGAGAAGCTACATGGTTTAACAGGCCTTAGCAAGCTGTCATTCATCACAGACACCCTGCTTTTACAGGAAGGGGCTGCTAAACCAAACCTGAACTCAAACCTGTTAATTCAGAGGACGAAAGGGAAAGGGAGCAGAGGGCACCGGGCGAGTAGCAGACTGCAGCACAGGGGGCACATTTCAAGCCTGGGGCACCCGCGTGCAGCTGCCGGGGCTGGCAGCCCCAGCGCACGCCTGAGTCCCAGCCCACGCTCACAGCTTCTCCCGCCACCCCCGGGCATTCCCAGCCTGCCAGAGCCATCAGCCCAACCAGGAATAGCAGCAGCCCCTCCGGCTGCCCGGCCTTGGCAGGCACCTGCCTCTCAGCCTGCCCGAGAGCTGCTCCAAACCTCGGCCACGTCTGTCCCTGCCCAGCACGTGCGGGCTCTGCACCCACCCCAGGTGAGGGGTCCTGGGTCCCCAGGGCAGTCTGTTACCTTGAGCCCCCCTCACAGCCAGGGCTGATCATGAACCCATCATGGTCACGGGCTGTGCCACAACCCCGGGCACCCAGCTGAGCTGGGACCCAACACTCTAGCCCGGCTCTGCAGCATTCACATTCTCAGCTTCCCCAGCTGCCTCCTACTTACAGGCTCTTGGCATGTTTCCCTTCAGCAGTAAAGCTCTCCTAATAGCAAAACCTCTCTTTTCCCCTCCTACCCCATTTTTAAAGAAAATCAGACTAAATTCCTTTCAGAGGTCACAGTCACACAAGCACACAGGCTCCATGCCTGAGACTAGCTTGGCGCTGACACTCACCAGCCCCCTAAGGGTTAACAAATCACTCAACCCCACACCAAGGCAGAATTAACTTTATCTATACTCAGGGCACAGGATGCAGGTGCCACAGTCACTAAGCACGAGAGTTACAGGGCTCCTAAGGCAAGAAACGCTGCATTTAGGCTGGCCAACAAAGGAGCCCCAAACCTCTCGCTGTGCTCCCGAAAAGTGAGCCCTGCGATAGTAGCAGGAGGGAAAGAGCAAGCAGGAGAAATTGAGAAGTCAGAGCCCGGCAAGTCCCTTCCCTTGACTGACAGCAGCAGCAGGGTTTAGCAGCTCCAGGTTTTTAAGCTTAGCTGTTTTTCCCTCTGCTTTCTGGCAGAGGGGGTTCTATTACATTTAATAAGAGAAAGGCTACATAGCAAGTCACTAACAGAGTATTACACATCTATCAAGAGAGCGTGCGGGGAAAGGAAGCTTTTGCAAGGTCTGATTTTTATTTTTCCGCTATATTCCCCCCTTCCTTTTTCTAAAAAGCAATAAATAACGTGAGCTGCCTGTAAGCCGGCAAAAGCCAGAGGAAAAGGCAAATCAAAGTTGCAGCATTTGATACGACAGAAAATATTGCTGCTGCAGCTGCTGCCGAGACACTTGAAAGACTCCCCCCAGCCACCCTCCCTGAAAGGAAAAAATACTATATAACACACGGCAAATTGTTGTAATTGTAAATCAGGGAGCTATGAGATTCTACATTCCTAGCAACTGCCTTATAGCAGAGATAGCGCAGCTTTCAACAGTAAATCAAGCAATGTATAATTACTAAGAAATCAGACCTGAATTTCAAATACTTCCTAACCCAAAAACACATCCGAGAAGCAAAATGAAAGAAAGCAAGGAAAAACACACATTTCTTACCTGGGACAGTAGAAAGGACAGAGTAAGTTGAGTTTTGTGCTGCATTTTGCCAGACTAGAAGGTACCAGAGGCTTTTTCATTCATGCACTCGGCTGCACTGAGCATATTTTCACTGTGAAACAGCCTTTGAGAAGAGACTCTGCCTTGAGAGCCAGCCAACTTCCCAAATAGATCAGCAGCATCATCACTAAAGCATTGGATAGAGTCTGATGACCAGAACCAATGGCTTTACAAGGATGATTTCTTCACAAAGCATCCCCATTTTGCATCACACATACCGGGCAAGCACCTCTCTCGAACACAGCACCTGAGAATGCATTTTGCTCTGGTGTATTTGTGTTTAGTTTCAGCCTAACAAATCATGCCTTACAGCTCTTAATAGTATTTTCCCTTTTAAGAGAATGGAATTGCACAGAATGAAATTGCACAGAGAGAAATAACAGCAACTCTGAGAACCAGTGCAAAGAGATTCTCTTTATTAAAATGTTAATAAGGTGGGCTTTATTTTCAATAAATCAAAAAAGTGACCATCGCAGTTTCAGCTACTCCCAAGTCTTAGGGGAACAACACAAGGAATATTCTGTGCAGCAGAAATACAGATTATATTTTGTGTTTTCCCCTCAATCTCACAAATCACAACGAAGACAGATCAATTCGTGCCTGCAGAACAAAATCCATCATAAGGCAATAGATTTTATTAACTGCTCAGGTAATAGCAGAGCTGGCTTTTGGTTCAATGAACTTGAATCTAGGACAAAGTTTCTAAGATGCATGCCCTTCAATTACCAAAACTTTTTCTTCCCTGCAAGAGGGGACCTGGTGCTGAGGAACCTGCCTTCTCTGCATCAATTGTGGAACCACCAGATAAGTAACACCTGGTAGATAGACAACTGATCACAAGCAAAATGCCCCCTCCATCTGCATTTCCAGCTCCACCTCTCCTGCCACTCCCTGTTATCACAACAGTCCAGTCCCTTCCCCATGCCCAGCAATATCCTGCCTCCAGATTCAGCAGCTTCATGAGTTTGCTCCTTCCTGCCAGCTGCCACTTATATGGCAGAGCTGCTGCCCAGCTCACTGTGCCCCAGCACAGGAGCAGGGAGGAAAAGGCAGGTAGGGAGAGGCACCTGAAGCTGCTCCACCACTTTCCAAGTTCCTCAGCACCAGCAGGAGCTTCCCACCATCATGTTATGTGATAGATTTCCTACCATCTGCTAGTCTGCTGTCAGCCCACATCTTCCTATACTTACACAGTGGTCAGGAGAAAGAAGAAAAAATATTCTTAAGTTTTTAAGAAGTCTGCTCCACTACCTTAATGGGGATGAATTGATACTCAGAGCAGAATTCAAACCAAACCCAGCAGCAACTGTAATGCTTTCCATAAGCAACAGAGGGTTCACCATATGTGTTTTAAAAAAGCACACAGGTAGGTCACTTCCCTCTCAACTCCTTTCTCAGGTAGAAAAGCAACTTATAAAAGTAAGAGTTATTGCAAGTCTTACAGATCCATATACTAAAAATAGCAAGTGATGAATGCCCCCTCCCTCCTTCAAGGGCCAGGTTTTCCACCCACTGCAATTCCCAGTCTTAAGAGAAGCTCCACAGATGCTTGCAGAGCAGCATGCAGGTCTGCAAGAGGTTGGGCAAAGGAACACCAGCCCTCACACCATACATGGTCTCCACATTAAAGCACAAGGATTTAGACTATCTCTTAACCCTACCAACTGGTCCAGGGGAGCAGACTAAGTTTCTAAGTCAACCAAAAAGAGGTAGCAGCTTAGAGCAACAAACACACCTACATCCTGTTTCACCAGAAAGAAGCAATAAAATATATAAATGATAATAAAAAAAAAACCAGCCCCAGAGGTAGATGATTCACTTTGAGACAACACTTGCCATAACATGAGAGGAGCTAAGTGCTCACAGGTCTGCTATGCTCACCTGCAGTGGGGCCTCTTGAAGACAAGCCATGCTCGTACACCATGCCTGGAAGCTGCAGAGAGTGCCCAAGGAGCAGCAGTGCTACAAAGTCACCCCAAGACCCTGTAAGTGGGAACCAGCAGCTTGGGGCTCCTACCCTTCCATGGGCAAAACATCACAAGTATCACAAAGGATGAATCTCAGCCTTAAGCATTCTGTAATCTAGTCTTCTGCAGAATGTTCACAGCTCAGAGGCTGGGGCCTGTAGTCCCTCCCTTGCACAGGGAAGCCAAGACTCCTCAAAGCAGTCCCAGTCTCCCTACATTCCCCCCACCTCAAGCATCTGCAGCCTAAACACCCCAGGGAACTGCACACTGCTGCCTCCACATTCAGAAACACCAATTCCCTTCTGCTAAGCCAGCCCTAAGACAAGGGAGCAGAAAACAACTCACCAGCTTCCAACCACCATGTCCTCTCAGCAAGTCCAGCACCCAGCAGTTTCCAGAAAGCCCTCTGGGGCAACAGCTGCTTCTTATTGGCCCTGGGAGGGGTGACTGACAACACCTGGAGGGGTGATTGGCTGATTGACAACACCTGGAGGGGTGACTGACCACATTAAAGGCAGGGGGAGGGCTGGGAGTAATGGTTTGCAGCTTCTGAAGGGATACTTATTATCTTCAGGTGATTGTCCTTAAGGTATGTTGGGTTGTTTCTGTTGTCTCTAAGGAGGGTTGTTGGAGTGACCTGGCTCATGGTGAGCTGCAGTCTCCTGGTGCTTAGGCCTTTGTCTGTGCACTTTGCTCCAGGGGCTCAGGATGGGCTCTAAGGGTGCTATGGGAAGAGCTAGGGCAGCTCCCCAGGGAACCTCAGGCAGGCAGCAAGGCCCAAGGAAAGTGCCCAGCTCTTCCTTGTTGACCTTGGCAGGGTAAATACTTCTCTGATGCTTGTGTAGTTATCAAGACATCTTGTTTTTGTGAAAAGTAAGGAGGCTTTCAGTTAATAAGGAAATAAGACTTGCATTTTGTGTATCTCTCTGTTTGTCTTGAGAGTTTGAGTATGTCCAAGCTTTTAAATTCCCCTGAAAGAAAAAGAAGCTGTAGTTATTAAGATGTAGTTAGAGGAGAGGGGCCAGGCCTCTGATTCTGGGGCAAGTTTGTTGTTCTTTAAAGAAAAAGAAGCAATGTAAGATGCACACTAAATTTAGGTAGGGTCTGAGGTAGGCTTTGAACTCTGGTCAAAGAAAATCCTGCTGAGGCCTTGTGGAGGTACCCAAGAGCTTGGGGACACTTAAAGAGAACTGCCACATGCAGTGTGTTCTGCTTTTTCCAGAGAAAAGGTACTTCATATATAAAGTTTTAGATAGTGACATCTTAGTTATTCCTCGCTCTGTGCCATCCTACAGCAAGAGGGGCTTGTGTTGATGACCTGGGTGCTATTATTTGCCTTTAATTAAAGGCAGCCTCTTCTCCCTCTTGTGTGTGCCCAGGCCTTCATGCTCTCCCTGCCTTAGTGCCAGCAGCCTGTGTGCTCCTGGCCTCTACCCAGAGCTGCTTTTATTTATTTTTGTGACTCCTTTGAGTCTGGATAAAAGCTGTAGCAGTGGGCAGCAGTGCATCTTGGGTGGTGTGTCTTTAATTAGGACAGATAGGGCAAAATTAGGACAGAGGGGGCAAAAAAACCCTCAATTTAAGAGTGTAATAGCAAGACTTCCCATCCTTACCAGAGCAGTATCTGTACCAAAGGACTGGCATAGCCAAACTTATTTTAGGGCAGCTGGGCCAAGTGCACACTGGAATAGAAATTCAGGCAAGCGAGCTGCCTCAAAGAGCAAGTTTAGCTGCAGTGTTTGACATGGTCCTTGTTAGCTGGAAACGACAGGCTGGTTAGTGTTCTCTGGGATCTGACTGTTTATTCCAAGAGCTGCCAGAGAGCAGAAGAAAGCAGCCTGGCCTGCTGTGCCAAGGGGTTTGGCAAGTTATCCTCCTGCTACACCCTGGTGGAGCTGCCAAAAGCTTGTAGGAAATGTCCATGGCTAGGGCTGGTGTCTGTGGTAGGAATGAAATGGGATCTCCCTGCCTGGGGTCTCTTGTGGGAGGAGGCAAAGCAACTGGCTGCAGCTCTGTATTTCTGGAGGGTAAAGACTTGCATGGCTGCAGTGGAGCTGGTTTAATGAAGAGTTAAGGAGCGTGTTTCCAAGCACTGTAGTTTTGAGCTTGGCAGTTCTGCCAAAGTAGGCTTGAGTAGGGATCCCCTGTCTTAATGCAGCTGAAATGCCTTGGAAAAGGCTTCAAAAAACGCTAAGAGTTTTGTAGCCCACAGGTTTTCATTATGTACCCAATTCAGAGCCTCCATAACACCTCAAGCTAAAATCACTATTTCTTACATGAGGGGTTACTGGCAACAGAAAGTTTGGCATTAATGCAGCTTTCTCTAAAACCTGTGACAGGTTCTTTTCTTCCAGATGGTTGCTGAATGCTTTGTCTAGTCGTTGTCTAGTAGTTTCTCTTAATGCCAGCCCAAACTCCAGGGTAGCAAATGGGTTTTGTTTTCATACTTGCCAACAGGCAAGTATGAACAGATCGATTCTTCACTGAAAAGAATTAGGGAGCCCTTCAGAATCAACAGAGGAATGAAAAGAGTGAGTAGTGAGTCAATCAGGAAGTCCTTAAGGCACCACCACACCCTTTTCTTTCCCTAAAACAGAACAAAAAAAATCCCTGCCCATCTTGGCTCTGAAAGACCCATTTCTTCACCTCCTAAAATATAAAGTTGTATTAGTGCTTTCTGCGTTCTTGAGTTTTTAAGTACTAACAGAAAGCACATTTTATTTCTAAAACTGTTACTATAAAGCATGGAGTAGCAATTCACAATGCTGTATTCTAATAGTGTAGTTTTAAAGTACTAGATCACTATTCCCTGTAGCAGTTTTATGTGCCTATATGTGTTATGCTTTCTTTTCCTCTAGATACAAATTTTAGCAGTAAGTACTCCTTGAACTGCTGTTTAACCAGCTGGTAGATTACTAATCAATATCAGTTAGTAAAATGCCTAATAAGATCACCTGATAAAGAATACCCACACTGCTCTATATTATGTACAATGACTGCAAAGGATTATTTTTTATTTAAGGATGGAGTCATGTAACCCCAGCTCTTTGACTTAGCACCCTGCAAGCTGCTTAGTCCTAGTCAAAAAAAAACCTACTACTAAAAAACTATTAAATTTTTTTTAAATGAAAAAGTAACTATCCTTTGGCCAGGGATGGGCTGTTCTGTAATTGACCCTTCATGTGAGAGAAGCTGGGGAAGGAGGTGTAGAAGAGCCTTGCTTTGTGGTGGTGGGTACTCCCCAGGGCCTGCTCCATGGAAATGGGGTCTCTCCACCCCTTTCTCTAAGCTGCTGCCCATGCAGTGCAATGTCCTGCTCCTCAGCAGAGCTCCAGCACCTAACTCTGCTTTTCAGATTACAGGCAGGTGTTTTTGCACATGGGCTAAGGTTCCCATGCCTATAGGTCAATGACAGCAATTGAGCTTGCAATGTCAGCTTGCCCCACTGTGAAGCTCCTGAGTATTTTGCTTTTGTGGTATTTCACAGTAATTCAATTGTACAACCTGCCCATGTCGTTGAATTTTGGCCCTCTTTTAACTTCATATTCAGAAATACTAAGTTACCTCATTAATGTTACCTCAGCTGTACAGGTGAAATATTTCTGTAGTGAAAAGTGAGGTTCAGGGAGGCATCATGACCTGTTTAGGATCAGAAAGGTGGTCAAATGCTAAGCTAAAAATTGGACTGCTTGTTAAGAGCCTTAGGCTCTGGCCCTTCTGCCTATTGAAAGAACCAGTCAGCTTTCCTGGGGAACCTGGGAGTTTCTTCTGTTATTGCACAAAGCTGAAGCCAAATCACCATTTAATGTAAAAAGTCTATACTTGGCATTTCCCTTCCCTGCATGGGCATCTCCCTCCTCATTTTGACACTGCTCCTATTCCCTTCCTCCATAAGCGTAATTGTGTCTGGCCCAAATACAGGTGTGCTGGAAGCAACTGCAGCTCTGCTGGAGCAGAATATGATGCATGGTAGCTTGTTAGTGGCTTGTCAGTATGAAGGGAAGGACTCCTTGTTTCCCTTCTGACCTCATCTATTGTCTAAGAAATGAATGGATCCAGGAGTATGAGAATTTGTTTTGGCAGTGGGATGTATAGTTCCAAGGTTCTATTTTACAGAATTCTGCCCAGAAATACAAATCAGAATAATCAAATAAATGGAAAAAATCAATGGTACAAAGTCAAAGTCTCTGTTTAAAGATTCACTATGCAAATTTATTTTAAAATTACTTTTTCTTCTATATGTTAAGAAAATAACATTTCCACAGGAAACACATGACAGAAAGCAAGTTATCACTGTCAGAATTTCATAAAAAGTATCCAAACTCAAGATAGCCATCATGAGTTATGGGAAAGTTAATACCATAGAAATAAATTACCAACAGAATTTTAATGGGTTTATTGCATGACAGTTCCTCAAGCCCAACCAAATATCAGCTAGGAAATTCAAATGTGACAGAGATGCTCTTAATTCCTACAGTTATGGATTTCTTTCTTAAATCCCTTTCTATGATACAAGGGTCATTTTGAGTATTCTGCCATGGATACAGAGCTTACTTACAGGCAGCACACTTTGCCATTCTTATCCAGGTGGAAGCCAGCTTAGTCTTTCATCTTTTCACAGAGGAACAGCAGATGTGTAAGTGTGTTTTAGGGTGAATAAAGCAGTTGAGAGAGACAGAGAAGGGGAATGTGTCAGTCTTTGAATATCTACATGCACAGGAGAGCTGACACGTACAGCCAGAGCAGCAGTTAAGCCTGGTTTTGGACGTATCCACGTGTATTATGCCTGCTGTAGGGTCACACACAGCTCTGTTTCCTGTTATTTTCAGCTGCTTTATTTGTACTGGCTCGTATTTCACCTGCTGTGGTTGTGCCAATGCAAAGCCCTTGGACCCGGAACTGCATCTTTCCCAGGCACTGCAGAATGCAAGACTGGCTTTGGTTAAAATCAGGGTGCAATGCTGAGATTTTGTCCTACCACTACAGCAGGAAGACAGAGTTGTAGGAGAAAAGACCTTGGAAAGACCCATTCATGAGGACTCAGACCTTGAAGAACATTGTGGGCATCCTGCCCTTAGGGCATCCTTAGGAAGGCAAGATGAGGGCATGTGGTGCAACATCCTTGTCACACTGAACTTAAAATGCCGAAGATGTCAGCAGCATCAGGATTTCACCCTCCAGCCTGATGTTATTTCCTCTCCATTTATATTCACAACCTTTTCTTTATGCAACTATGTCATGGCTTTTAGGTAGATAAATATCTTGCATGCTTCTCAAGGGTATGATACGCTATTTAGTGTTTTCCCTCTGGTATCAGCACCTGTTAAGCATGGAAATAAAGTGATTAGACTTACATGTTTGGTTTCAAAAACTGATTTGAAGATAGGTCTCCTTATCATTGGCAGATAAATAATATCATTGGCGACCATTTCAAAATAGTGATATCCTCCTCAATAGCAAGTTTACTCAATTGTGAAAAGTAGGATTTACACTAGGAAGTTTTCTGGTTTTCTCTTTCTCTTGGAATTTTCTAGATCTACCAGGCTTTTTTGTGGCAAAGTTGTCTGGTACTGTGTAGCCTCAGAAGAAAATTGCAGATCTAGGTGTGACTTAGATAGTGAAGCCCTTTTGATGTAACAGAGGAAAAAATGAAAATTCAGTATTCCTTAAATGATTTGCAGACAGGTTTTTAAAATTATTTTCAGTCTGAGAGTTACCTGGTTCTTTGCTTTAGTCTAGGATGTTATGATGAACAGGAGGATTAAGAAATAGCAGTTACGTAATTACTTTAGATCTAAGCTCATGGTGTCTCACAGAATGGCTAAATTCAGCAAGGCTGAATTGTAGTAGGTCATTAATTATCTTTAAAGTAGCTAAGCATTGTAATGAGCTATGTAGGTATTTCTAGAGAAAATTACTAGCAAACTGTTAAAACAATTCTTAAAAATGTAAGGTGATGCAGAAGTCCCCTAAACCCTTCAGTCCTTCCTGTTCCTTTGGAGCTAGGGATTTCAATGCACCTGATGCGCCTTCAGCTCCTGGCTCCCTATGGTGGAAAACTTTTCAAACAAACTGCACTGTGTCTACCAAAACAATTGGATTCTTACACTGTCTTTTTTACATACCTTTGAAATATTGTATATTATGCATAAGTTCTTGCTTCATCATGTATCTTGAGATCTCTCTGTATTTCATTGTTTGTCTTCAATTTTGTATCTTTCTTATGTAAAATTCATTAAGCCTGTGTGAATATGAGGAGGATAAAAAGGTTCCTTTTGCTTTTTCCCTTGGGATTGGCTGCCTTGCCTCCTGCTCAGTCATGATTTCTGTTTTGAGCTTAGCTTTTAATGCGTGCAGTTTTCCTGGAAAAGGGTATTCTATGCTTTTTTTTGCTAGATTGAGCTCTGAAGTAAAACAATTTCCTCTTGAAATAGTGATACTGGGATTCTCTAGCACAACAACAGAATGTGCTCATGTTTTGTTGCCTTGGTCTGGTTGCATCCATAAAATCATAGTTTTTTTATTTTGATTAAGCATTTCCAAGTAAAAATCAGATCATGCATTCCAAGGCACTGCTACTGAGCTCCCTTGTCAGCTGCTCACATGGTGGACTGCAGGTTGGAAATTTGTTTTTGTTGATGCAAGAGGACAGCACTTAGCCTTGAGGAATGGAGTGCTGCAGGAATGACCCACGTCTGAGTATTTAATTCTCTATTTCTTCCTAAATCAAAATAGGACTTCAGTAAATCTAGCAAATCCTATGGCCATGCCTGCTAAAAACTAGCACAGCATATTCTCCAACATGCCAGGCAGCCGGTCTCAGCAGGTCTGCGCTCTCCTGGGAGCTGCAGTCGACCAGCAGATGTTAAGAGCAGCTTTGGGCATGTTATGCTTTAAGCTGAACCCAGCACAGACAAGTCAATAGATCAAAGAAGCCCCAGTGAGCTCCACAATTCCATTTTTTTCCCTTATGCTGCAGTTAACAACATCAGATCAGGAAATCCCCTGAGCTGCAAGTAGTTGGAAGCTGGAAAAGCACTTGGGGAAAGATCATATGAGAGCAGTTTTGTTCGTGTTCTTTTGTAGCTGTCAGTTTATGGCTGCTGTTGCAGCCCTCTGACGCAGGTATGAATTCATTCCTAGCAAACTTAAAATCTGCTGAAGAAAGGGAGGGTGCAGAGCAAAACGAGTGAGGTGGTGGGGATGTTGGAGTAGGTGCCTGCAGCACCAGTCTGGGTGTTGGTGGAAGTTGTCATCTCTTTGGGAAGGAGAGGAGGCAGCATCAGCTCTTGCGGTCTGTCCCTATGGAAGAGCAGGACATGGGCAGGCTGAGCCTATGTAGCACATACAGGGTGCTATAACATGGATATTTAATGTTAAAATATGTACCTTAAATTATTGGCTCCATGCTCCAGTACCTACTCAAGAGAGGTACTAGGATTTTGTGCCAAAGTTTTTTTAAAATATTATGTATTTTTGTTCATCTTCTATTTTGTCCTTTAAAAGTAAAGAGATATTAAAATAAACCTCCAGACCAGAATGTACGAACTAAAATACTGCTTTATTTTTGGAAGAGTGCTTATGGGAACACTGATTCAGCTGTTAAAATCTGTGTTCCCCTGATTAGCCTCACTGGTGAGCAGAATTTAAGTAGTTAATTTAGTAGGATACATTGAACTGGGCCCTGAACAAGTCTGCTAGCTTGGAGGAATGGGATACACAGGAAAAAATGAAGAATACTTAATGGAAGGAGTAATATAATAAATACTTTTAGTCTCTTGATCCCTGAAAGTGAAGGATAAAATAATAGCCATCAAATGTTACTAAGCATGCTAAGTGTCCTAAAAAATAATGATATACAATCAAGCTTCAAGCAATAAGAGGAAAAAACCTTACGATTAGATTGAAGTCACAGATGTGAATGGAGCTGGTAAACTCAGCAGAAGGAGTCTTGAAGACATCTACACATGTCAAGATTTAATGGAGTTTACTAAATAAGTGAATTGACTAATTCAAAAGTGATAAAAGCTGTGCTCTGCAGTAGGCAATCACATCGCGTGCTCCTTGGGAAACTTCTTTGTATATCTGTATAACACCTTTTCAAAGCATGGAGTTATAATGTGCCAGGGTGCTGTCAGCCTTAGAGAACACTATTTGTGGAAGAACTTCCTGAAAAACAGCTTTTAAGCATGGGAAGCTAAGAAGAGATAGGTTTAATCATAGATCAGTTGAAGAAGGAAGAAAATAATGAAACAGGATTCCAATTTAGACAGGATGCTGTTTCAACACTTAAAAACAATTACAAAGAGTTGCTGCAAAGTTCCAGCTTTATACTGTGCTCTCTTCTGCACTGAATTACTTGGGTGATGATGCAAAAGCAGAAGCAGGAAAGTGTGCCACATGACATTAGCCTTTCAAGTGTGACATTTGATTATAACCGAATGCTGCTGGTGTTTTGGATGGTTTAAAAATCTCATTGCTCTGTCTTGAGAATCCTGCCTAATCCAAATCTGCAGCAGAAGGTGAAGTGGCTTCTGACTTGTTGCTTTTATGACAAGTTTTTTTAGATCATAAACTTAATGACATGAATAGACAAAATTGACTTTTCATTTTGGAAAGGACCATGGGGATCTAAATGTGCCTAGTGGTGACACTGACCATGTCTGGAAGCTGCATTTGTCGACTAAATCTGGAGCAGTAAGGAACCAGTGTGAAGTACGGTACATGCCAGGAGTGTTGACTAAAGAGTTCAATGCTGCTTCTTATTAATGCCAGATTTTGTTGGCATATATCTGATTTTATGGTTCTGTGGTTACCCAAGAGCCTGGAGAGGCAATGCTTTTTCAAACACCTACCACCAGATATGACTTTGGCCTGAGTTGATGCGGGTGCATGGGTTTTAATGCTATGGAGTTTAATCAAGTTTAGCAGCTTTTCCTTCCCTATTTGTAGGTGATTTATCCCAGACCACTTTTTCCTCACCAAAAAAATACATTAGCCTAAGTCAGCAAATATGTGGTTATAGACTATAGGTTGTCTTGCTCCTTATTCTTTACAAAGAAATGAGCAGCATGCAAGCATGAGGTTGGTTTTCAGGTTGATATTTTTTCAGTCCTTTTACAATAGGTACACAGCTATTTCAGCTGGCAGAAATATCCAAGCATTGCACAGATCTAAACATCTTCTCATCTTGTCCTTTTTTATTTTTATTAGGGTTAGAGAACCCTAATAGATCTTATTGGTCCATGGTTAGCTCTTCTACAGAAATTCTCTTATACTTTCTGAAGATTTTATAAGCAATTCATCACTTTGGCCTCACTGGTCAATTTGTAACACTGGCCATTACTTGAGCAAGGTTGCTTCTCTGCAGATCTTCTGGCTTTGTGAATATGTTGTTTCCTTCTACATGGAGACCAAGAAGGCTCATAGATTGCACACTAATTAAAATTAGGGAAGGTCAGGCAAGAAACAAGCTCTGCTGGTGGTTTTGGTAGAAACTGCACATCTGATGCTTGCTATTTCATGAGAGGAGATCTCCTCAATAATCAGAGGAACAGAACTAGACAATGTACAATAGCACCATCTGGTGACTCCCAATAATCTTACTGTTACCCCAAATTCCAGATGCGGGAACCATTACAATAAGAAAAGAAGTACATGTATTTCTAGAAAAGAGCAGGGTTCAGGAAGAAATTATTTTAAAGAGCCACTCAGTCACCTCCATCTGTGAACAATCTTACTGTTGCATGAGATGATTTCAGCCAAGGAATCCTAGTGGTCCCAGGGAGTCTGTCTTAAGTTAGGTACTACGTGATTTTTTTTAAACCCATTTTGGCATACTCCAGCATATCCAAAATATCCAAAAATTGATCCAAGCCTAATAAAAATATGTATAACTATCAAACAATGAAGCATATTGCGCTTTTCAGCTCTGGTGATTTGGATCATTTTTACTTTTATTACAACCTACTTATGTGGAAAATGATTTCCCATAGATCCATCTGCAGCTTTTGGCTAGAAGGGGCAGCCATGGGAACACTTCTTTGCAGGGTCTCTGGGAGACAAAGATGCAGTGAGAAATAATGGTGAAATAGTTGCAAGACTAATTTCTTCTGATCAGCACCAATAATGATATCCTTGATTAATTTTGCCTCCAAATTCTTTAGCTTTATGCCTTTTCCTGTTGGCCTAGCCCAGTCTTTGAGCTGAGTTCTGTAGCTATTGCACTACTCAAACTAGTTTTCTGCTGTGAATGGAGGTTACGTGTAATTAAAGACAATATCTAGGCAATAAGTTGCTGTTTGGAAAACAGTATCTTCAAAAACAGGAAAGACTGGGAATTATTTGTAGAGCGCTGGGGAAACACAAAATAGGAGCTTCCTTGCATATTTGTGGGTTTATCATTCAAAAGACAAGAGTTGCAGGAGAAATACTGAAGAGAAAGAGAAAGGTTTAACTTGTGACTGCAGCTGTGTTTATCCTTTCCTAACAAAAAAAATGGAATACTCAGGTACAATAAAAGTTACTGCAGAGCTAAAGTCAAAGGTTGGGGAGTTTAAGTAGTAGTCCTGAAGCTGATGAGAAGTTACTGGAGAGTGAAGTCAGTAATTACAAGGTCATTGTATGTCTCATGAGTACGAATGATATCATTAATGCATTTCTTGCTGTATCTGGATCCCAGAAGATTTCCGTTACCCACTTAGGTCAGCTTGGAGGTGAGTTTGGTGCTGTGACTTGAATTCTTCGCTGATAACAGTGAGTAGTTTTATCCTGCCTACAGGTGGTCTCTTCATGTGTGCCTTCCTGAATTCAGATTTGTTGAAGGATGCATGTGAAGGGACCATCTTGTGGCAGAAAATCCCGCTTAGGCATGGCTCAACACTAAAGAAACTATTTTGACCTGTTTTCTGTTAAGAATAAGTTTTGCACTTTTGCCTTATTGTGTATGAATCTACTCTTGCAATAAGCTGCAACCTGCAGGAACTGAGGCTTTACTGTAATATAACATGCACCACTTTTATTTATTCATGAAGAGTGAACAATCTGCTCTCCTACTATATGTATGATTTTATTTTTTAAATGAGGATATAAATTGGAAATGTCCAGAGCTTGGGATAAGGAAACTATTGACTAAATGCCAAACACTTTTCTAAATCAAAATAAATAAGTACTAATCCTTGTGCATGTCAGCTATAGCCAAGTTCATTATATGATGATAAAAATAAGCAAGCTGCTTCACAAATTGGCCTTAGCACACTGAGGAAGTTATAATGCTCTGCTTGTGATGGGCTTTTTGTTCTGAATTTGCAGTTTCTTGGGGAACAGAGTTTCTTCCACGTTGTTTGTCCTCCAAAATACCAATTCCAGAGGCTGATTGTGCTTTTTGGTGTTCTATGCACATTATTGCATCCTCTGAGGATTTGAGCCATGCAGGCTGCAATGGTCTTTTGGGCAG